GGCAGGGACCCCTTCCACTGGAGCAGCTTGCTCCAAGCCCCTGTGTCCAACCTGGCCTTGAGCACTGCCAGGGATGGGGCAGCCACAGCTTCTCTGGGCACCCTGTGCCAGCGCCTCAGCACCCTCACAGGGAAGAGCTTCTGCTCAGCTCCATCTCCCCTCGGGCAGTTTATCCCTCTAAATCCCCTCATGTGTGTTGGCAAAGCAGGGCTTTGTGGCACTGGGTCATAGCACTCGGTTGGTCCAGGTTCTGAAGCTTCATCATTGGTGTTGCTTGGAGTGTGTGAGTCCCAGTGTGCCTTCATTGTAGACCACCCATGTTACACTGCACATGGATGCTGTCCCCCTCCTGCTCCTTGGCTTTTCATCAGGCTAAGTCCTGTGTGATTGAGGGTGGGTTTCAGTGTCTGCATCCTACAGGCACTGCTGTGTCCTTATATCTGAATGGATGGCACTTTATTGACCCAAGTCCCTGCTGCTCTTCTACTGGAAAGTCCTCTTGGCAAGTGAGATGGGTGAAGTGGTTACAGAGCTGCTTACAGGGTCCCTGAGGTCACTGAGGGTGATGTCAAATAAACGTGCTTTGTGTTGTGGCCATCACGTTCCTAAGGGCTGGCAGCAAAGTGTAAATGTTGGAATAACTCCCTTGGAGACTCCTCCAGTGTGGTTTTCCCAAAGACAAAAAAGGGAAAACCAATCCCTTTGTGTTCCCCATAGGAACACCCCTGCAGCCCTTCCCCAGCCATGCGCTCAAACCAGTGCCAGAGGGGACACTGACAGGAAGGAGGCCTCGTCCCTCCCTCTGCCAGCCTGTGCTGCACTGGAGCCTGATCGGAGCCAGGGCCCGGAGTGGCTCATGGGGAGCTTTTCCAGCTCTCTGTAAGCTGGGGAAGGCAACTTTGAGTGTGGAGGCTTCCTGTGGGATGGGGCAGGGGCAGGGAGGGGGTTCTGGAAGCAGAGGCTTCAGTTCTGCAGGAACTGTTGAATAAATCCATCTCTGCTGGAAAAGCTTTTCCTTGTTGCTGTGCAGTGAATCAGCAACTGCTGCCGAACCCTGTGTTACATGGTCAGCACACACTGGTTTGGGTTGGAAGGGACCTCAAAGCTCCTCCAGCTCCACAGGCAGGGACCCCTTCCACTGCAGCAGCTTGCTCCAAGCCCCTGTGCCTTGAACACTGCCAGGGATGGGGCAGCCACAGCTTCTCTGGGCACCCTGTGCCAGCGCCTCAGCACCCTCACAGGGAAGAGCTTCTGCCTAAGAGCTCAGCTCAGTCTCCCCTCGGGCAGGTTCAAGCCATTCCCCTTGCCCTGTCCCTACATCCCTTGTCCCAAGCCCCTCTCCAGGTTCCCTGCAGCCCCTTTAGGCACTGGAGCTGCTCTGAGGTCTCCCCTTCAGGAGCCTTCTCTTCTCCAGGCTGCCCCAGCCCAGCTCTCTCAGCCTGGCTCCAGAGCAGAGCTGCTCCAGCCCTCGCAGCATCCCCATGGCCTCCTCTGGGAACTTCTAAAGTACAGAGCGATGCACTTTGAGTGTGGATTTCCTGAGCAGAGCTCTGTTGGTGATGCTGTACCCCATTTCCCAGTGACACACGGTTGTGTCATGTAATGGGCACAAGCTGGATCAGCCCAGCATTGGGACACTTCATTTCCATGTTAACTACCACCTCATGCATGCACTCAGGGCAGGATGGAGAGCACAGCATCAGGCCTGGGGGAGAGAGCCAGGTGAGGCTCCTGTCTGCATGGCTTTTGAACCTGGTCCATCTCAGTGCAAGGCTTGCTCAGAGGCTGAATGAGTAGCTGCAGTAATGACACAATGCTCTCTTATTTTAACTCACCCCATGCCTGCTGGGAGTTGCTTCACTCTCCGAGCTTGCATCAGTTGTTGTTCACTCCCCTCTTTGCATGTATGATGAGTACAGTCCGTATGTAGGTGTTTCTGGTGCAGGGACACTCATAATTACACACTCACCCACTGTGCTCAGCTCCAAGGTGCTGTTGGCTGCATCCTCTGTGGAAGTCATGCAGATGACCCACTTTGGGTGCTGGGCCCTCTAATGAGGGCTTGATGTGACCAGGGCCTGACCAGCAGCTCCAGTGTTCCCAGCAGATAAACCCCTTCCTTATCCACTCTGTGGCCACCAACAGGGATTTACAATGAGGGTGGTGGGAAGCTGGGGCTGCCCCATCCCTGGCAGTGCTCAAGGCCAGGTTGGACACAGGGGCTTGGAGCAAGCTGCTCCAGTGGAAGGGGTCCCTGCCCATGGCAGGGGTTGGAGCTGGATGAGCTTTAAGGTACCTTCAACACAAACCAGGCTGGGATCCTGTGTGTTTGTCTGTATCCTGTTGAGAATGACACCTGGTAGTAAAGGATGCTAAGGGACATGGTAGGAAAAGCAAGCTTAGGTCAGCTAGCTTCTACCCCTAGAAGTAATTCAAAAGCCTGGAAGTCTCAAATGGCCTTTACCATTGTTTTCATCCTGGTTTTGTTCTTGTATGGCCCTGCCAAGGAGTCCCAGTGTCCATGGGTGTATTTACCTCTCCCCACTGCCATGCCTTACCAGTACACCCCAGTGCCGGAGCCGCTGGTGCTGGGCACATGCCGTGCTGGAGCCTCCCTGCTGCACAGTCTCCATTAACAACAGGCAGTGACTGCTGCCTGCATTCACACAGGCACATCTGAATTCAGACAAAGCCCTGTTGCCAATACAGATGAGACAGAAAAGGCTGGCTGCTTCTGGAATCTCTATTTTAATCCTTCCTGCCCCTGCCTGGTCTCTTCCAGGCTGGTTCCTTTTCGGAAGTCTCCTGCTGCTGTCTGGTTTGCTCCTTTAATTTTCCTTCTCCTTTTGTTGTTGAAGGGGTGGAGGGTGCTGGGTCAAACCTAAGGTTCTGGCCTGGTCAGTAATGGGAAGGAGCAGAGATCTGCCTGTTCCCTATTGTGCTGGTGACTGGGGGAATGGAAATCATCGTCTCGTTTTCCCATGAGTAATTCCTCTGCATTTCTCCTTCATTAGAACTCTCTGCAGAATTCCCTTCATTTCCCAGCTGATCGACTGAGGCAGCTAATGGGATAGAGCAGGAGTGCTGCATCCAGCCCTGGGGCAGCAGCACCAGAGGGACGTGGAGCTGATGGAGTGAGGCCAGAGGAGGCCATGGGGATGCTGCGAGGGCTGGAGCAGCTCTGCTCTGGAGCCAGGCTGAGAGAGCTGGGCTGGGGCAGCCTGGAGAAGAGAAGGCTCCTGAATGGGAGACCTCAGAGCAGCTCCAGTGCCTAAAGGGGCTGCAGGAAACCTGGAGAGGGGCTTGGGACAAGGGAAGCAGGGACAGGAGCGGCTGCGATCTCTCCTGACCCACTGTGGCTCTCAGCAGTTGGTACCGGTTGCAACCGAGTCTGAACCAGGTCCTGGGCTCGAGGAGCTCCTCTTGTGCCCGAGTCCAGATGGAGCATGGAATTCATGGAATCTGTGTGATTGGGGCAATGGCAAAACCCCCGTTTCATCATCTGCAAACTGGGCTGAGGTGGGGCCTGTCTGTGAATGCATTCAGACTCACTGAGTCGCTATCATCTGGTGGGAGGTGAGAACAGCATCTGTGGAGGGGGGAACAGCACTCGTTCTGAGTAACACGTGAAGGACTAATGCTGGAGAGAGTTGTGTCCCACTTCAGCATCGTGCTGGAGGTCTTGAGATGCTTCAAAACCAGCTTTGAAGTTTGATGCCTCCAAAAGCATCGGTTTGAGCATCCTCTCGGCACGGTGGTGTTACTCTGTTGTTTGGTATCACCGATATCCAAAAGCACGTTGGTGTTCCATGTTAGCTTTCCCCACTGAAGGGGGTGTCTGTGGGAGGTGAGGCTGGGTTGGGGCTCAGGTACAGGGTGTTTGCTCTTGCAGAAGCTGTTGTCTCGCTTATGAGAGCGCCATAAGCCAGGTCTTACTTTCCTTTTTTTAACTCTTAATCTGATCCTGTGCCACAGGAGTGACCTGCCTGAGGCTGCCTTTATTTGCTCTGCATACATACACCTCCATTCATTCAGAGCACTGCATCAAGCCATTAGAATCAGCTTTCCCAGGCTGGGATTTCAGCACTTTTTAGCAGGTTTGTGGCTCAGGAAGATCAGCTTTTAGGTAAAGGTTCAAGAGAAACTTTATTAATGAAATTAAAGCTCCTTCTCATCGTTCCCTGCTTGGTTTTGGCAGCGTTGAAGGCTTCTGACAGAAGGAGGCATCACTGCTCAGCAGTCTTGGTTCACAGATCACACTCAGCCTTCCTCCCACAGCCACAAGCGTGAGGAGGTTGGGGGTTTGTTGGGTTTTTCACCATGGCAAGACAATACCGAGTGGTTTCAATCCATGTGGGTGCTTCTCGAGGAGCACACGCGGCACCGCTGGCTGCTCTCCATTGGACTCCTTGGAACAGAGGAGCTCATCCCTTCAGCTGCACTGAGCTTATTGCAGAGGGTTCAGAGTCCATTGCAGCTTTGTCACTTGTTGGCCACTGCAGTGATTGCCCCCCCTCTGCTGTGCTTTGGGGTGACCCCCCCTGCAGTCCTGGTCCTGCTGTGGGGAGCAGCACAAGGGGGATGTGGAGCTGATGGATGAGGCCAGAGGAGGCCATAGGGATGCTGCAAGAGCTGGGAGCAGCTCTGCTCTGGAGCCAGGCTGAGAGAGCTGGGCTGGGGCAGCCTGGAGAAGAGAAGGCTCCTGAAGGGGAGACCTTAGAGCAGCTCCAGTGCCTTGAATCTCCATTTATATTTCATCTCTCAACCCACAGAGCGTTTTGGACCATTTATAATCCATGTTGGATGTAATATTCCACCCAACCATCATCTAATCCAGGAGGTTGAAAGCTTGAGCCCAACGTTTCTCTTGTGAGAGTTGTTTGGGGGCAGACATCTCTCTCAGAATGGCTTTGTTAAGCAGCAGCTTCTTCCCTCAGGTAGCTTTCCTTTCCTTCCTGAGAACCCATGGCTCAATGGCTTGAATTGTGTTTTCTTTACAGATGTTCTCAAACAACGATGAAGCTGTGATCAACAAGAAGCTTCCAAAAGAGCTGCTGCTCCGGTGAGTCCTTTCCCTTCCCCATCATGGAGCCCAGGGGCTGGTACTGTGCTGGTTATGCTCCTAAATCATGAGCTTGGATCAGGTCACTATAGAAAAGCCATAGACAAGCAGAAGTGGAGCAGAGGTCTGCAGCAGTTTATGCTAAATATGATTAGTTTTGGGGTTTCAAATTGCTGTTTTGTAGATGGAAGAACCCTAGGACTAAAATCCTTAGTGAAAATACATGGTGAGTACCTGCTGATGTCTGCAACAGGATTCTGCTTCTCAAAGAGTTCAATTCTAGTACAAAGTGAATTTCTCTGCTGCAGTTGGGCACCAGCAGACTTTGTCCTGGTCCTCATCCATAGGAGACGTGCTCAGCACAGGGCAGGATGCTCCTGGTGGCAGAGCCCAAGGACCAGGTTTGAGCTCTGCCCTTCCCTGTGCACACACATCTGCACCCTTCAGTGTTTGCCTTCCCTGGTGCAGGAGCAGGGATGGGGTGCGTGTGGTTGTACCTCAGACATCACTGTGTAGCATCTGGAAGTAAAGCTGTGTCCATCCATGCTGGAAGCTGGGGGGCTGGACCAAATAGAATGATTGAAATAGTGAAGCATCATCAATGGTGAAGGTAATTGCAGGTGGCTCTAGTTATTGACATGACAAGAAACCGTGGTTAATGTCAGCACCCAGTGGTGATAAAAAGCATGGGGAGAGGAGCTCTGCCCTGTGGAGATGCTTTTGTCTTCTGTGTCTTGCTCATCCCAAGCTGCTGTAGAGCAGGGCAAGCGCTGAGCAGCGTGAGGAGCACAGGAGAGAGCAGGAGGGTGGGTTTCTAAATGTTTAAAGTTCATAAGTGATGGTTTGAGAGTTGGGATTCACTGTTAGCATACTGTGAAAATCAATTAGTGAGGATTGACAGTGCAGCCTTTCAGAGAGCAGCTTGGATGCAGTTATCTGCAGGAATCTCCTGTAAATGAGTGTCACTGTCTACAAGACAAAGCCTCGTGTGTTTAAGCAGTGCTGCTGTGTAATGTCTTGTTCCCTGGCTCGTTCATTCTGCAGATGGCATTGATGTCTCGTGTAATGTGGCTGCAGAGTGGAAAGCTGTATTTGAGCAAAATGAAGAGTGGGAGGATAGCAGAGGGGTGAACAGCAGCCTTTGTCACAGCCCCGAGACAGAAATGTGTGACTCCAGTGGTGCTTTTGTCTGGGAGGCTGGGATGGAGGTGGCAAACACACTGCAGGCTCTCCTTGCAAGGCTCCTGTCGTGTTCTGCCCTGGTGCTGGTAACGGTGGTGTTTGCCCTGTGTTCCCCAAGAGCAGGGCTCTGAATAGAGCAGTTTGGGGCTAGGGATCAGTTGATGGGTCCCGAATCCTTGTCCTCCTACTGCTGTGCCTGCTTCAGCTTTGCCTGCTGCCAGCTGAGCTTGTAGGAGCTTACACCTTCATCCATCACTACGGCCCTTACACTGGCAAAGGAGCCAACCCTTCACTGCTGCCCCTGCCTCCGTGACCCTCAGCACTGCATTCCTGGTCAATGGCAGCTGTGCCTGTGCTCCTTTCCCCATCCCATCCCTGGTTCCCTGCGCTGGCAGCGATGATCCTCTGGGAAAGGTGCATTCATTCGTTTGAGGGCTGCTTGCCAGGTGCCTGTCTGGAAGCCAAACCCCAGCCTCAGATGCGGATGCTCTGTGGCAGGGGGATCTCTGAAGCAGGTTTCCTCCTGCTGTGACGTGGGGCTGCTCAAGAGCTTCCTTGGCAGCAGGAGCTCTCTTTTCCTTGCTGGTTCATGGGCAGGTCAAGCAGTCCTCAGTTCTCTCCTGCCCTAAGCAGCTTTTCCTCTGTGCTGCTGCCTGCCCATCTCCAGCACAGCCATGGGCATTGCCTTTGCTACCTGACCTTCAAGTTGATTTATTCCTCAGGAGCTCGAGTTCTGCTCAGGACCAGGCAGGAGCAGGGCCCATTGGGAGCAATGAGGTGACAGCAAAGTTGTCCTTTCTCCTCTGCACAGCATCCCATGGGTATGAAATGGGCCCAGAGGAAAATGCAACAGGACTGGTGGGTCACTGGATAATTATAGCAGGCTGAAGGTCTAAGCTAGCTCACCTCCAAGCCTGCAGCAGCCAGGGGTGGCATTAGAGTCTTGACCCTAATCCAATTAGAATGGCAGTGGGAAAGTGAGGAGTCCTGGAAAACCCTGAGTGGATTAAGAGGCTGAATGAAGCCTGCAGAGTGCCCTGCCTGCAGCAGTGGTGAAACAATTCCATCTGCTGCAGTTGACACTTGGGTTGAATTCCTGTTTGGAATGCAATGCTCGGTCTGCCATCACTGTTAGGTGGTGGCTGTTGGTGTGGGTTATTACTGGCAGCTCTGGGAGGGTTGATGTGTTAAGGAAGAATTGGGGAAACCGTTACTGATAGAATCCCAGCCTGGTTTGGGGTGAAGGGAACTCAAAGCTCCTCCAGTTCCAACCCCTTGCCACGGGCAGGGACCCCTTCCATTGGAGCAGCTTGCTCCAAGCCCCTGTGTCCAACCTGGCCTTGAGCACTGCCAGGGATGGGGCAGCCACAGCTTCTCTGGGCACCCTGTGCCAGCGCCTCAGCACCCTCACAGGGAAGAGCTTCTGCCTAAGAGCTCAGCTCAGTCTCCCCTCTGGCAGGTTCAAGCCATTCCCCTTGCCCTGTCCCTACAGGGGCAGCTCCTTAGAGGGGGCAAGGCTGGCTCAGGGTGGCGTTGGAAATCCTTGCTGGTGTCATTGTGCCTGCAGGATTTAATGGGGCTCCTGCTGCTCTCCCCGGTTCACCAAAGGGCTGGAGCTGGAGCCAAGCCTGCAATGAGCAAACCTTGGAGCAGAGCAGCGACTGCTGCTGCAGGAGTCATTCCTGCAGGCTCATTGTGCTGAATCACAGGCTCCTGCTCCTGAGCAAGGGCAGGAGCCCTTCAGACCGCACTGAAAGATGCTCTTCAGCTCTGCAGAGCCAAGGACTCCAAAGGGAGCTCCTGGCAGAGCTGGGCACCAGGGCATAGAGGGGAGAAGGGCGAGTGTTCTGCTGTGTTGACATCCCTTTTGCTGCAGGGGCAGGCAGGGAAGGGAGGAGCAGGAAGCAGGAAAGCGTTTGGCCAAGACCTCATCACCCCTATGGAGGGATGAGGGGGTTATTCATAGCCTGGGATTTCCATGGAGAAAGCAAGCTAAGGAAAATATAGAAAGCTTGCGTGGTTCCTGACCCGGCTGCTGTTCCCATGGAGCGTGGGGTGGTGTTTGCTGATGGGAATCCAGGGGGAAAGGAAGAATTGGCCCTTGCTTCTCCCATTTCCCCAGGCTTTCCTTGTATTGTTGTACATGGGCTTTGTGCTGAATAAATCCTCAGTGCTCGCAGACATGCAGGAGTGAATGACACTTAAGGGGAGGGGAAGACTTGTCCATCAGCAGGGAGTGTGAAACTGCTGCTCACATCCACAAGTGGGTTCCCAAAGTGCTGTTACAGTGAAGTGTGTGTAGCTCTTTCCCAGACCTTTGAAGTGCAAATATCTTATGATGAGATGCATAAGGAACAGATGAGAGCTATCTTGAAGCAGACTCCTTGGATCTGTGTGTTTGGATGGTGTAGGAACACAGGAGCACACGTGGCTGTTGATTCTGCCCTAGCCTGGCTGAAGGTTTGACTGCTAAAGCTATGTGATACCTGTAAGCATCCGTGCTTTGATTCATCCTCAAGCAGGAGCATCCTTTTCTCTTCCATCAACACTGATGTTGCTGAAGTGTTTTGTATGTACCTGCTGGTCGAGAAAGATGGATCGTGCGATCATCGTGTCGTGACATAGAATGGTCAAAGAATCCCTGAATGGTTTGGGTTGGAAGGGAGCTTAAAGCTCATCCAGTTCTAAGCCTCTGCCACAGGCAGGGACCCCTTCCACTGGAGCAGCTTGCTCCAAGCCCCTGTGTCCAACCTGGCCTTGAGCACTGCCAGGGATGGGGCAGCCACAGCTTCTCTGGGCACCCTGTGCCAGCGCCTCAGCACCCTCACAGGGAAGAGCTTCTGCCTAAGAGCTCAGCTCAGTCTCCCCTCGGGCAGGTTCAAGCCATTCCCCTTGCCCTGTCCCTACATCCCTTGTCCCAAGCCCCTCTCCAGGTTCCCTGCAGCCCCTTTAGGCACTGGAGCTGCTCTCAGGTCTCCCCTTCAGGAGCCTTCTCTTCTCCAGGCTGCCCCAGCCCAGCTCTCTCAGCCTGGCTCCAGAGCAGAGCTGCTCCAGCCCTCGCAGCATCCCCATGGCCTCCCTCTCCGGTGCAGGGGTTATCCCTTGTATTTCACACAGCTGTTCCACACACGAGGTGTTGCTCACACAGGGGCAGGAGGAGGATTATGCTGGGCACCACTGCAGCTCACAGCAGGGAGATGGGTGTCAGTGCAGTGCCTTGGAGACGCGATGTGGTCACTGCTCTGTCATTGCCCTGCCAGGGCACACCCAGGGGCTGAGGCCAACAGGCTGCTGGTGCTGTCCTATTTACTGGGAGGAAGGAATTCGACAATGACACCTTGCAGTGCTACACTGGGCTGTGACATCCGTGCGTTCCTCTGGGGCACATACACCCCTACCTGTACACGCAATGTACTGAGCCCATTGAAAGCTCCCTAATGTGAAGAGATCAATGTGGTTGTGTATGGTTTAGGTTATTCAGACAACCTCTCCCTGTGTCAAACAGGAGCCAAACACCCCAATGTGAATGTTGTGCCCTATCCTGAACCATTAAGCTACACGATACCCGTGAGCATCTCTTGATAAACAACCATTCAGTTTGCTACCAGCAAGCACCACAAGGTGGGAGATGAATATTCCCCAGTGCCTCGGTATCTGTGTCCTGCTTTCACGTGTCAGCTGCTAACCCTGCACTTCTTTTCACAGCAGCTTTCAACTGAATCACAAAGAAGTTTTGCTGTCTCCAGGGCTTTGCTTTCCCCTTTGTTCACCCTGCTTTAATGTGCTTTAAACACCCGTAACCAAGAAGGGCTCTTTTCTTTCTCTTACAGGATTTTCTCCTTCCTGGATGTGGTCACTCTGTGTCGCTGTGCTCAGGTTTCCAGGGTAAGAACCTCCCTCCTTGCTGCTGGATGGGAACAGTTGGGTTGGATTTGGGTGGCCCCAGCCTCCCCTCATATGTCAGACCACGAGGATTTAGCTGAGGGAGCTTTGTGTCGCTCAGCTATTGTTAACACAGGGCACTGAATAACACCACGAGTCCAGAAGCTTCTGATATCAGCAGTGAAGGGGGACTCAGCTTGAAATCCCCTTCATGGTTATTGTATGGAGCTGGCTCCCTTTATGCCCAAGAACCCTCCAGTCAGCCCAGGTCTGTTTGCACTGATGAAAACACCATCCTTTGGCATCTTATGGGGTTTGGTGGAGATAAATGTCAATGAAAGCAACTTTCCTGTATTCGAAGTGAGGATGGAAGTTGAACTGGGTCTGTTTTCCTCAAGGTTGTTTTTTCCTGAAGCAGCTCCTAGTTTTGAGGGCTTCAGCTCCCAAAATCCACTTGGGAAGACTCCCCCCTTCAGGTCCAGTTACAGGCATCACAGCTGTTTGGGTCCTTTGTCTTGCCCAGTGTACTCAGATGCACAGAGGAGGCATCACTGCAGCCAGGAGTGGGAAGTGGGCTCCATGCTGAGGGTGGTTGCAGTGGTGCTGTCAGTGCCCTGGCAATGCTGAGTGGCACCTCCAGAGCTGAGCAGTCTGGGTTCAAGCTTGAACTCCATTATTCAGAGTGCATAAGGGTGAGAAAACCCATGCTTACCCATTCCTAAGTGCATTAAACCCCGCTGGGTGATGTCCAGGTGTTGCAGTTACCACCCTGTGCTCTCTGCATAACACCAGCCTTGTGGTGAAAGCTCTGCCAGCTCAAATCCCCTGCTCCAGCAGAACAATACAGACCAGAACAGGCTGCCCGAGAGTCTTGCCAATGTCAGGCTGTGCTCCCCTTTCTGTCACTTGCTCCTGTTCTTGCTCACACAATCCACAGGGCATCAGAGAACGCTGTAGTCATGCTGTGACCCAGCAGGTATTGTAAAGGACTGAAGTACCTGTGCTAGAGCTCCAGAAGGCTGTAGGTAAAGTTCCCTTCATTACACACTAAAATCAGCAGCCACTGATGCATTTATTCTCTGCTGGAGCCCTTAACTTCTCTCATGGTTATAACCAGATCTTAAAGCACATCAGCAATGAGATTGAAAATGCAGAGATTTAATGACTACTTACAGTTCTGTCTGCACATGGCTTGCACACCAGCTGCTACGTGGTGATGGAGATGCACCTGAGTGCATGTAATAGATGTAGTATAAACACATGCACGTACACATTGTCTGGCATAATGATGGGCTCATGGTTAGGATGAGATCTAGGTGTGCACCTTGATTACGTCATGCATACTTCATGTTCTGTGTTGACAACCTTTTTGGTTCATTAAGGGCAGAATTAGTAACTTTCAGTTCCTGGTTCTCCTTTCTAGCATGGGAGATTTTGGGTGGTTGTTTAAATAAACCAAAGCAACCCCATAAGGCAGAGGCTGTAAGTCCCAGGTGCAGGGCTCTGGGGTCAGAGCTGGCTGTGTTAGCTGGACAGCTTACACAGCCCTGAATTCCCCATGTGTGGAACGTGGCACCAAGTGCACCAAGCTCTGGAAGTGCTTGGAACACCTCTTTCTGCTGGAGGCAAGAGAGGTGTGAGAGGAGGTGACAGCTTCACCCACCACTATGGGATGTGGTCACCAAGTCCCCCATCCCAACACCACCACCCCCTCTGCACCCTCAGCCTGGCTTCTCTTCTCTTGGCACTGTAGGTACCTGGTACAGGGTTTCCTCATGTCCTGGTATCCTTCATGTTCACACTGTAGCATCCCCTGAAGGCTTTGGTTTAGCTGGATTAGAGGGGATTAAATTGCATCCAGGACCATGAAGATGCTGCAGCACTGCCTCCTGTCCTGCCTCAGCATCTTCACCTTGAGGGGGAGCACATGGGCTTGGAAGAGTGTGCCCCATAGAGAAGGGATTTGTCTGAGCAAGAGATGCTCTAGTGACCTGTTGCTTTTACATCTGAGCCACAGAGTTGGTTCTAAAAGGAACAAACTGTACCTGGGTCCCCATTGGCATCTTTTTTCCCTATTAACAACACATTTACCTTTCTTTTCCCCCAATAAAGGCATGGAATGTTCTGGCCCTGGATGGCAGCAACTGGCAGCGAATTGACCTGTTTGATTTCCAGAGGGATATTGAGGTATAATTAAGTGACATACAAACCCTTTTTTTCTTGTTTAATATGTAATTACAGCCCCAAATGGATTAATACTCCCAATGTAGCCCTCCTTACCTTCCCTGGAGAGAGAAATCATTCATTTCAGTCCTTCCTAGCTTCAAGGAGACTTTAAAGTCTTGGCAATGCATCCTGAAAATGGACAGGATTCTGTGTCTGTATCACGACTTAAAGGTGGTAATAGAAGGGAAGTGGTTCTGGGTGTGCCCTGAGACCAGAAATAAGGAGAACAGTTCCATTCTGGTGGAGAGCTACTGCTCCTGTAGAGCAGAATGGAGGCTGCTATTCACTTAGGTGTTAACAGAGCCCTGACTTAGACCATTAACACTGAATATCCCTTGAAACATGGCCTGAATGTGTCTGTCCTGTCCTGGCTTAGCTTTAATATCAGACACTGATATATGTATTGATACATGAAAGTGTTTTGGGGGGGTATAAGGCCAAAATAGTTCCTAAGAGATGCAGCTTTGGCAAGGCTTTGTTGTAGCTGTTGTGAGTGTGTAAGATGGGGGTTACTCAGCACTGGTGGGAATGGATGCTGCTGTGCTGGTCTTCGAGTGGAGCTTGCATTGGTTAGCAAAAGGGAATGTTCTATCCTCTTTATATTGGAGCAGGGAAATAAGGAGCAGATCATTTGAACTCATAACAGAGGCATAGCCCAGATGGGGGCTGAACATTCTCACCCATGGGAACTGGGGGGGGGGGGGAAATACACACGTTATTTGAGGAGGAAATGGTGAAATCCATCTCCTGCTGCTGTATCTGAGCAGCTTGGACCCCTGCTGAAGGAGGAGGTCTGTGGTACTGCACCTGAGTGGCCTGAGGCTTCTCAGAGGAAGGAAATGGGGTGATTTGCTTGCTCATGAACCCTTGGAAGTTCTGGCTTTCCTTCCATGGAGGCAGAGCAGAGTGATGGCTCAGGGCTGGAAGGAGCACTGCGAATACAAGCGATGCTCTTCTCCTTCCCCATCACTTTTCACATGGCTTTCATGCCTCTTTGTCCCCATGCATCACACAGAGGTTCCTGCAGAAGCACAGGCTGCCCCTTTGAAAGCACAACGCTTGGGTAGGTTGTACCTAACCTGAAAGCACCTCCAAGGCTGCCTGGTGCCTGCATGTCCTTTGCTTTAAAGGGATGTCCATAGGCCCATTGAGGTGACCTCTCTCCAGAATCGTGTCTGAATGCCCTCATCCAAGCCTCTGGATTCCAAAGCTTGCTGGAGGAGCTGCAGAACCACACAGACTGGGGCAGGTTTTCCACCCCTTCCAATGGAGGTGCAGGCTGAGCCTTAGCCAGGGCAGTGCTTCCACAGCACACTACAGCCCCATGTCACCAGAACCTCATCCAGAGATCCCATTGATGGTTATGATGGGGTTATGATGCTTGATCAGGTCTTGGACTGGAGAAGGATTATAGAACGCTCTCATCACTGGTATGAGGTCCTAAAGGCCAACTGATAACTTGAAGAACAAAGGGATGTTCCTGCTCTGTGGTGAACAGCCATATAGACAAGGGGAGGTGTTTGAATCTCTGCACATGGATGCCAATATTATCCCAATGGTTTGGGGGGCTTGGAGCAAGCGGCTCTGGTGGAAAGTGTCTCTGCCCATAGCAGGGGTTGGAACTGGATGAGCTTTAGGGTGCCTTCCAACCCAGACCAGTGTGTGGTTGTGTGTGGGATTCATTCACAGTGAGCAGCAGCTGGGTCAGTGCCAGGCTGTCTCCAGAGATGCTCAATGGTGTCTTTGGAGGCTCCCATCTTGAACACAGATGTTTGAATCCCTTTTTCTCTGAGAAGAAAGCTCCTGGCCTGGTTCTGCCTCCTGTTTCTCTTGAATAGGGCTCATTATAGGAAGTTACAGTGCATGGACTGTGCTTATTTGCAAGTCTCACTGCCCTGTTGGAGCCAGGGCACTGCTGCTTTCATCTATGGATGTCCAGGAGGAAGCTCCTCAGCCATCAGGAGCCTGTGTGGCGTTAGGTGGTTGTTCCTTACCTCCCCATCTTCAGAAGCTGAAGAATCCCCCCTCTCCCTGCCCCACATCCTTATCCTGGCCTCTGTTTGTGAGCCCTGCTTTCCTTAAACACCCCCCTTGTTGACGTGCAGCATTGGGAGCTCAGTGTGGGGCTGCTGGGGGTTCTCATTGTGCTGCTCTGTGTCTCCACCAGGGCCGGGTGGTTGAGAACATCTCCAAGAGATGCGGGGGTTTCCTGCGGAAGCTCAGCCTGCGCGGCTGCCTGGGAGTGGGAGACAACGCATTGAGGTACTGGGGTGGCTTCTCCCTGCTCTTAAAGGGGATGGGGAGAGGGATCCCATCACTGCAGGCCCCAAGGAACGCTTTGGACCTGAGCTCTTCAGCCTGCGTGTCTGACATCAGCCATCGGGAGCAGTAACACAGCATCCTTGTGACTGTATTGGTTAATGCTGAAGCCCTTTTGAATGCTCATTTCTCATGGAAGCATCTTTAATTGGCCATGGTTTAGCTTCACACAGTCACCATTCCTCTCAGTGCTCATTAAAACCTCTGCTGCAGGAGCTGGCACTGAGTTACCAACCTTTACCTTAAGGTTGGGAGATGCCAAGGCAAGGTGTGGGGCAGCATCGATTCTTCCTGTTGTCTATTCCCAAGTTTGTGAGCTGTTATCTGTGTTCCCCTTCAAGCAAAGGCTGTAAAGCACTGGAATTGCACTGCCTGAAATCCAGTGGTTTTTCCCTTTTCCTTCCCTCAAGAACATTTGCCCAGAACTGCAGGAACATCGAAGTCCTGAACCTGAACGGCTGCACCAAGATCACCGACGCGTGAGTAAAACTCCTCTTTGCATCCCCTGTTCCATGGGTACCACGCTGGGTTCTCCAGCCCTGCTATAAGGGAAGGCCGGTGGGAGGTGATGGGATGCATGTGGTGGGCTCTGTGGCCTGAGTGTGTCCGGTCTGATCTCTTGCAGGACCTGTACCAGCCTCAGCAAGTTCTGCTCTAAACTCAGGCACCTTGACTTGGCTTCCTGCACTTCCATAACCAACCTGTCCCTGAAAGCACTCAGGTAGGGCTCGACAGCATTGACTCTTGCTGGTGGATCACAGAGCCACCATTGCCTGTATCCTGTGTGCCTTGGAGGTGTAGCTGTGATTTGGAGCTCAGTGTTCACCTCATGCCTCCTGGTTTGCTGAGACAGAGGAGGAGGACTCAGGAAACCTGCCCTCAGCCTTGTTTGTATCCATCCTGATGGCCAGGAGCAGTACAAGAAAGGATTGTGCTCTGTTAAAGCCTTTGGGGCCTTTTGAGTCCTTTCTGAAGGGCTCATTCTTCAGCTCCTTCACTCCATTGCTGCTTAGTGGTTATTTAGAGAGCCAGAGGGTGAGCACCAGTATGTGGCTGGCTTGTTGAACTGCTTAGGAGCCCCAGAACTGCTCCAATCTGCTCAGTGGAATGGCCAAGTAATGTAGAAAAGGAAGGGACAGGCAGGCATCGGTGGGAAGATGCTGGGATGGGAGAAGAGGCAGGAAAACCCCACTGAAGGTAGCAATAGAGGCCAAGCTATTAAAAAATAATAAAGTCAATATAAGATAACATAATACATTAAGATATATCAATAAGAGAATAAAGGAAAATACAGGGAAGCTGTATCACAGGAAAAAAACCACTGGAGAGTGAATCTGGACACCAGAACTGGAAGAGCAAGTGAATGGTTCTGTTCTCTTTGGGCCTGTTGCTCCCTTCCCTTGAGCATCTTCCTCCTCATCCCTGTTTTCCCAAGGCCACACTTGTGCTGCAGCTCTCTCAGGTGGATGGTGGCGTGTTCCTGCTTACAAAGTGGGTCTTACTCCTCCTGGCAGCTATTTGCAGATGCAGTGTTAGACCTGGGCAGAAATCAGCCCTAGTTTGGGTTGCATTGAGGGTGCTTTGGTTGTATTTGGATCCAGAGACCCACAGTGTGTGTCCTTGCGGAGGAGCTGGGGGTGTCCAGAATGGGATCACTGAGCAGGATTTGTATCCAAACCAAACCCAAGCTTTTCCTTTCCTTCCCAAAGCGAGGGCTGCCCATTGCTGGAACAGCTGAACATCTCCTGGTGTGACCAAGTGACCAAGGATGGCATCCAGGCCCTGGTGAGAGGCTGCGGAGGACTCAAAGCCCTGTTCCTGAAGGGCTGCACACAGGTACTGCCCTAGAGAGTGAATAACAACTCCCTCTGCTCTCAACACCCCTCCTGCTCTCCCTGGAAGCGTGGGGGTGAAGGAGATGGGGCTTTTCCCATTTGTTGGAATGACTCTGTTGGAGATTAACTGCTTTTAGTGAGATTCTTGAATAGCTTTGAGCTCAGTGTGAGTGATGGGACAGGGAACAAATTGCTGTAGAACCATTCTTCTTTCTTCCCCACTGGTGACCCATTGAGGAAACCTTGCTCCCAAAGGAGATAACTTTATCATTCATGGCTGCACCCATCCATTCCTGAGGGCTCAGATGTTAGAAAGCGTGCCAGAGCTTACCTCTGTGCTGGTGATGGGATCTCCTCTGCGTGGCCTCTGGATCCTGTGCTTAGTCCAAGTGAATCACTGTGTGTGTGCCCATCTCTGCAGCAGTCAGGAACACGCTGCTGCTTCAAGTACATCGCAGAGCTCTTGAGCTATAACTGTGCTTTGAAGAGGCTGCAGAGACTGGGCTGGTTGTGCTTTGGGATATGTAAATGGTGCAGACTCTTACAGCTGAAAGGGGGGGGTTGCCCCCTTGTATTTCCTGTTACTTGGACTGATTTCCTTTAATCTTGCTTTGCTGTCTTAGCTCTGTGTGTTAAATACTTCCCTGTAGTGCAGCTTTACTGAGGAGTTACAAGGAGGAGCATAGAGATGCTCTAAGCCTGGAGCAGCTCTGCTCTGGAGCCAGGCTGAGAGAGCTGGGCTGGGGCAGCCTGGAGAAGAGAAGGCTCCTGAAGGGGAGACCTTAGAGCAGCTCCAGTGCCTAAAGGGGCTGCAGGAAACCTGGAGAGGGGCTTGGGACAAGGGATGTAGGGACAGGGCAAGGAGAACATGGGCTGGGGTCTTTCCAATGCAGGCTGAGGAGCAAGGAAGGAGCAAACACATCTCTGAGAATCTTGTCCTTGAACAAGGAGGGTAAATCTGAGCCTGCAGGACTTAAAACCATGACCCAGAGACTCCCAAGGGTTTAAGAGCCTCAAGGCAGACCTGGAAAACGATTGCTGATTACCTGCCCATTGGCTTGGATGCGGGGTTAGGGCTGAGTCTGTCAGTGCCCTTTTCCTCTGCTGTGTGTAGGTAAGGTTCTGGTGGTACAAAAAGCCTGTTTTGCCCTGTTTCTGGCCACCAAAAGTCGTGCAAGCTGCTGCTAAGCAAAGCAATACCACACTGCTGATGGGCACAAGGCAGCCCAGCTGGAAGGGCTGGAGTCAGTGGTCCTGCTGTTGGGTTTTAATACATGAGATGGGTTTACATCACCTTATAATATATATATAATACATTACATGGCTGTAAAAATGACTTGATTAAAGGTACAATCTCAGGCTCTTCTGAGGATTCAGGTCACAGGAACAGCTTGAGTTTCTAGTATTTATGGAGTCGTGAGTAATATTGATGGCAATACATCCTTGTTATCAATTACTCACCATCTGCTCTTAGAGATTTAGGAACAACAGCTTTCTTTTATCAGCAGGAAGCAACCTGGGCATGATTGTGCTCCTCACATCAAAATAAGGCTCTCTCTGGGTCCCTCTATTGCAGTATAAAGGTGATGGCACTTCCAGGCCCTCGCTAGGGAAGAGTTTCCTTCATCCCTCATCTCACTGCTGGCTTTGGTACATCTGTGTTTGCTCAGCTCAGCCTCTCCTGAATCAGTAACTTAGTGCTGGGGGTCTGCACCCTGCTCCTGAGGTGCTTAAAACCCAAAAGCCATGGGGTGTGTGTGGAGGTACCCTTCTGCCCTATGGGTATCCAAGCCATAGATGCTTTATTATCCCCTAAGCTGTATTGTGTAGCTCACTGCCTCAGTCTCTGATTCCTTCCTTTCCAGCTCGAGGATGAAGCTCTGAAGTACATTGGTGCCCATTGCCCTGAACTGGTCACTTTAAACCTTCAAACGTGCTTAGTAAGTAAAGCTCCCTGTGATGTCCCCATGCAGCCCCAGCATCGTGCTGGTAGAGACCATCTCTAAGCAGAACCCTGCAGAACGTGCTCCATCCCAGGAGCATCAGCACCAGTGCAGGCAGGGAAACAGGAGGCTTTGTAAAGCAATGGATGGAACCCAGCTTGTTGGGAGCATCCAGTAACAGTGACTAAGCCCCCAGAGCAGTGTCCCAGCACTGCCTTTGTCACCGTTGTTTTGTCTCTTTGCCCTGCCTCGTTTGCAGGAGGAGCTGGAAAAATCCTTCCCATTGGCCTGGAGTGCTTGGATGCTGCTCTGGGCCCACGGCTCCTCAGGTCTCTTCATAAACCTCAACCAAGAAGTGCACTTTCCCTGCCCAAAAAAGCTTGCAAGTGGTTATTCTGCAGTGCCAAAAATGTCTATTTCTGCCCCAAAATGTCTATTTCTGCCAAAAAAGAACCTGGAATGGGCTCTTTGCACACACAAGGGTGATGCAGGCAGTAACTGGACTTTGGGGATGCAGGGATGGTCTTGCCCAGTCCTGTTGAAGGAGCAGCTTTAGCAGTTATGAGACTGGGGCTGAGCTGTTAGCCAGTTCCAGGCCTGTGTCTGGGAGCTTGGCAAGAGGCAAATGGGAAGAAAGGAGGAGAAAACTGGTCAGGTTCTTGATCTCCTTACCTGAAAACACCGAGTTCTGCTCAATTTCTGCTTCTTCTCCCTCCAGAGCTTGGGTTTACCAACCCATAGACCTGCTGGTAAAAGAAGCAATGCTAGTCCCAAAAACTGCTGTTTTCCTATGGGAATTGGGTCTGGCTGCCTCTGAAAGCCCAATGAGGTTTAACCTGGTCCTCAGCATGCACAGCCTCTGCCCCCCGTTATCCCTATTCCCTTATCCCACTGCCTGCTCTCCTGCCACACAGCCTCCCAGCCCCACACAAGGAAGAGCACATCTGGAACACATCTGTGCCCTGTTGCCATCCCATTGCAGAGCACGTGGGGCTGGATGGACCCTGTGTGCCTGGGGATGCTGCAGTGGAATCGAATGGGGTTTTGGCTGTAAGGCTGTCTCTTCCAGCTCAGGTTTTGGTCCCAAACCACTGCAGTGTAGTTTTACAAGGCTCTGAAAACAACCTGTAGCTCATTTTGGGGGTAACTGTGCCTGTTGGGTGAGTCTGGACCCACTATTACCTCACCTCTCCTTCCACCCAGAACCACTTCCATGCGTGTGGAATCCCTTCCCCAATGCTCCCAAGTCACTTGAGCGTGGTTTACCCTGCGTCAGCTGCTCCTGTGAAACACCTGCATGCATTTTGGGGTTGAAAGAAGCAATAACTCCTCCTGGGGGACGTGCCCGGGTGGAAGCAGGAGCACAAGCAGCGCCTTTGCACCTCCACCTACGTTGTTATGGCTTGTGATGTTGTTATTGTTTTTCTTGTAGCAAATAACAGATGATGGTCTCATTACAATATGCAGAGGATGCCACAAGTTGCAATCCTTGTGTGCTTCAGGCTGCTCTAACATTACAGATGCCATCCTGAACGCCCTGGGACAGAACTGCCCAAGGCTTAGGTGAGTTTGCAGCACCCAGCTCCAGCCACCCTGGTGATGTGCTCGTGACACTGAAACCCTCTCTATAAAGGGCTCTTTTGCTCCCTGAGCTTTCTCCATGTGTTTGCTATGGGGTGGGGGGATCATGGATGAACCCAAACCCCTCCTGTGAGTGGTAAGATTGCTCCATGCCATGCTGATGTGTGTTCCGATAGCAGCAGGCTCCTTCTGCACTGTGATGCCTTTGATCCCTGATGGAAACCAGTTGAGGTTAGGTGATTGTTGCACTGGGAACACACTGGAACTGCGCTGTATCCTCCTGCTGTGGGATGGTAGCAGCTTTCTCATGATGGTTTGGGTGGTTTCAGGTGGAATCTGTGCTCTGTTTGACAGAGAGGGGCTCCCAGCAGCAGCTCTGCAGGTGCTTGCTGCCTTCTGGGTTATCCTTTAAGACTCTCTCCCTATTAGGACCACTTTCTGCAGGAGGACTTCACTGTAATGCAGCAAATGCCCAGGGGCAGAAAGAAGAGAGGGTTTTATTCTCTTGACATCCCTAAGAGCTGAGTGGCTGCATTCAATGGCACAAAATAGGTGCCTTCCAGGGGAAGCAAAGCACAACTGTGCTCTGTGCTAGCCCATTTAAAGCATTACAGGTACAACTGCATGGAAACCAGTGTGAAAAGAGGAAGGTAAAGCAGCATTTCAGTTCCAGATGGTTTCTGTGTTCCTGTTCAGCTGCAGCTTTACAGCGTTAAGCTCCATAGGGTAAAATCCATCATGCACTTTAGGAGAGTTGGCTTCTTGTCCTGTAGAGGTGGGTAAATGGGGTACCACTGTGAAGGAAACCTCAGCAAGCTGATCCCTTGTCACAGCACCTCTGAAGACTTCAGACCCCTCTATCATGGCATCACTTATTCCCCAGGGCTCATCTTGGTGGTTGTGCTTTACATCACCTTTTGGTGTGGTTTACACCCTTTCCATGGTGAGATCCCCCTTTGGGAATGGCTTGAACCTGACTGAGCTGAGCTCTTAGGCAGAAGCTGTTCCCTGTGAGGGTGCTGAGGCGCTGGCACAGGGTGCCCAGAGAAGCTGTGGCTGCCCCATCCCTGGCAGTGCTCAAGGCCAGGTTGCACACAGGGGCTTGGAGCAAGCTGCTCCAGTGTGATGCATCCCTGCCCATGGCAAGGGTTGGAGCTGGATGGGCTTTGAGGTCCCTTCATCCCAACCCACTCTGGGGTTCCATGGTCTCCCAGGTGAGCCCTCCCTGCTTGGCATCCCCTTGGAGCCTGACTCCCTGTTCTCTCCCATGCCCTGGGGTATGGAGGGTGGCTGCTCCGTGCCCATTCATCCTCCCAGGGAGCAGAGCCTAAACTGGGTCAGAACATCCCTGGGGTGCTGGATGCTTGTGCTGAAACACTCTGCAAAGCCAAATGAGTGCACCGTGGTGATTGTCCACTCTTTCCATGCAGAATACTAGAAGTTGCAAGGTGTTCCCAACTAACGGACGTGGGCTTCACCACCCTAGCTAGGGTAAGTGCTCCTTCCTGGGGGTCTTTGCTTGCTTTCCGGGATGGATGGGAACGACCCTGTGCCACCAAACGGAGCCTGTTTGTGATCTTTGCCATTGCCCTGAGCCACGCATCCCATAGGCAATGGGGAACACTGGGAGGTGAACACCTCATTGGTTGATTTGTTGGGGTGGGCACAAGGGACTTTTATTTGCTAGGATTGGAGCAGCTGTGTGCCTTTACGTGGTCCTTTCCTGCACACTGAGCATTGAGATGCAGCACCACGATGCTCATGGAGAGCACCTTGCGGGTTGAATAGGAGCTGTGGTGCTGTGGTTGTGTTACCATCTCCTGCCTCATCTCTGCCCTCAGTCCTTGTGCTTGCTCTTCCCTTTGCTCCTAGAACTGCCACGAGCTGGAGAAGATGGACCTGGAGGAGTGCGTCCAGGTAGGGGCTGGTGGCCTTGGCTCTTCCTCCTTTAGCACGGTCCCAGCAGCGTGGTGAGAGGGGGACAGAGCAGGAGATGGGCTCCAAAGGAGGGCTGGAGTTCGGATCCTGAGCAGGGAAGCTGGGGGTATTCGGGATAAGGCAGTGCTGGTTTGGGGGATCACGCCTTTGTTCATATCTCAGTATCAATCACTATCAAATTTCCCTATCAATATCAAATAACAACCAAAACAGCACTTAAACAGGGATAGAGGGGATGGAAGTGTGAGCATCACCACAAGATGAAGCCCCATAGTAAGGTTTGTGCTCCATGTACTGCTGGTTCCCTCTGTGGAAAGGACACACTGAGCAGTGAGGATGCTCCAGGGGACATGGCAACAGCTTGGAATGGAACAGGGCTCCCCATGCTACCAAGGCAGTGGGGTGACATGGGGTGGCATCCCTATCCCTGCCTCCTGTGCTGCAGTTGTCCCTCATAGTGGCCACAGGGCACATGCGTGTTCTGTAGGGCACGTGCCATAAGGAGATAACTGCTTCCAGGGAGCACTGGCAGGGAAAAGAGCTGGATTTCCTGCAGGTCCCATTGAAAGGGATGGGTTTGAAATGGATCCTGTGGTACAAGCAGCGGGGTTTGCTTCCTGCATTGGGAACAGCATCCCGGCCTTCCCGATGTGCACAGGGCAGAAACTGAGCCCATCACAGGGGGAAGCGGCACTGGTCCAGGCAGGAGCTGCTTCCAAGTGAACCTGGGAAAGGAAGAAGAGGAACTGGGCTCTGAGCAAAGGCATCCCAGGCTCGCATTGGGGAGCCATCGTGTTGAGCCTCTTTCTTCCTGAGGGATAAAGGGGAGCAATGGGATGGAGCTCTGCTCACGTGCTTCACGTGAGCTTATTCCATGAGAGCTGCTTGAGGAAGTCCAGGAAAAGCTGAGGTGATGCCTGGAAGGGCCTGGAATTGGGGCTCAGGACAGGGGAACTGCTATGGATGAGGCCAACTCTGCAGTGGTCCTCTCATAGGAGGGGAGAAGGCCTTGAGCAAAGCACCCAGCCTGAAAAGGGCTCTTTCCTCTTTTCCAGATAACAGACAGCACGCTCATCCAGCTTTCCATACACTGTCCTTGCCTTCAGGTTCTGGTGAGTGTTCCAAGGGAGACTTCCAGTGTTTCCTGTGCTCCAAACACAAGGGTTTGAAGGGCAGCCGGTGGGGAGTTGTCTCTTTGCCTTCATGGATGCGCTGTGAAGGCTTTGGAAGAGTTCAGCTGGAAACTTGACCCAAAGAACCTCTTGTCCCTCCTCTGCATCCATAGGAGAGGAGGATGCAGCTCTTCCCATCTGTGTTATGGAGCTGGGGAGCTGAGGTGATATTCCTCTAGGCTGGAATATGTGGGAGTTGAGGCTCAGTCTGCCCTGTGTGATGCTGAGAGAGCTGGGCTGGGACAGCCTGGAGAAGAGAAGGCTCCTGAAGGGGAGACCTTAGAGCAGCTCCAGTGCCTAAAGGGGCTGCAGGAAACCTGGAGAGGGGCTTGGGACAAGGGATGTAGGGACAGGGCAAGGGGAATGGATTGAACCTGCCCGAGGGGAGACTGAGCTGAGCTCTTAGGCAGAAGCTCTTCCCTGTGAGGGTGCTGAGGCGCTGGCACAGGGTGCCCAGAGAAGCTGTGGCTGCCCCATCCCTGGCAGTGCTCAAGGCCAGGTTGGACACAGGGGCTTGGAGCAAGCTGCTCCAGTGGAAGGGGTCCCTGCCCGTGGAGCTGGAGGAGCTTTAAGGTCCCTTCAGCCCAAACCAGTTTGGGATATTATGCTCCTCTGCTGGCTCCGTTGTGTCCTGCTCTGGGTGTCCTGGAGCAGTGACAGGGGCAGCACTGTGGGTGCAGGAACACTTTGGATGCAGGAAGACTGCTGTGCTCACTGCAGAGCTTGTCCCACTGCGAGCTCATCACGGACGATGGGATCCGGCACTTGGGCAACGGCGCCTGCGCCCACGACCGCCTGGAGGTGATCGAGCTGGACAACTGCCCCTTGATCACGGATGCCTCCCTGGAGCACCTGAAGAGCTGCCACAGCCTGGAGAGGATAGAGCTGTACGACTGCCAGCAGATCACTCGCGCCGGCATCAAGAGACTCAGGGTGAGGAGCAGGGCCTCAGGGGCAGGAGGGAGGGATGGGGACCATCAGTGATGCAGTGGTTGCTGTGCACTCGCAGGCTTGGGTTGGATCATAGGGAAGGGGTTGTTGCTGTGCCCACTGGGGAGTAGGGGTTGTTTTACAGGTGGCACTGCTCTTGAAACAGGGGGCAGAGCTTGCATTGCACTGCCCCATATCCTCAGTGCAGATGCAGTGCATTGTATTGGTCCTTGATGTATAAATAACAGGGATAATCCTGTACTAGAGGCAGTTTGCTGCAGGGGCTCAAGTGGGACAGAGCCAGGGTGCTCCTAAAGCACCCAGTGTCCCAGTGCTCCCCTCCTCAGTCTGTATCTTGATGATACATAGGATGTATGTGTCCCAGTGTCCCAGTGCTCCCCTCCTCGGTCTGTATCTTGAGCTGAGAGGGTGCTGAGGGTGCCCCATCCCTGGCAGTGCTCAAGGCCAGGTTGGACACAGGGGCTTGGAGCAAGCTGCTCCAGTGGAAGGGGTTGGAGAACCCAAACCATTCCATGATGATGATCTGTGTAAGAGGAGCAGTGATAGCACTGCACTCTCTGTGCACAGTGTGGAGCTGTTCTGTTCCCCACAGCCACCCCAGGAGTGATGGGAGAGGAAGGAGCATCACTTATTTATCCCCTATAACCCTCTTTGCCAGTAACAGAATGAACTTAAAAGGGGAAAATCACCCTGGTCACCTGCAGGAGCTGGACTCCAGCCTGGAGACAAGCAAAGCCTTGGGGCTTCTCTTTGTCACTCCCCCTCCATTGTGTTTGCCTTCCAGACCCATTTACCCAACATCAGAGTCCACGCTTACTTCGCTCCTGTGACTCCACCTCCCTCGGTGGGAGGCAGCAGACAGCGCTTCTGCAGATGCTGCATCATCCTATGACAGCGGCCCTGCTCCTCCAGCAAACTGAGTCTTTCCCCCCCTCTCCTTGTAGGGGCACGGGGGCCACCAGGATCTCCAAGGAAAGCGATACCAGTGTCATTTGCAAGGGGCAGTGAGCAGGGCTGTGGTGCCCCTGTAGCCACCCATCCCCATCCATATAGACAGACACCCTCCCCTTCCCTCCCTCCGTGCTCCAGCCAGCCGGTGGACTCTGCTGTGGGAGCTGGAGCTCTCTTGGCTTTCTCTCCAGGTGGATTGGGCTCGTTGGGAACCGTTCCCACTGGGGATGCTCAGGTGGGATCCCTGCGGTGAGGCCGCTGCTGTGGAGGTTGGAAGAGTGAATGGAAACCCTTGGACATGGAAGGGGGAGAGGAAGGACCAGGCTTTAACCCCGCGCCTCTCATCCAGAGGGGGAACAAAGAAAACCAACCTGAACCCCCCCCAAATCCTTGTGTCCGTTCTTCAGTGAGGGGATGAGGCAGGATTGAGCCGTGCTCCCCTGCTGAGCACCCGGAGCCAACGCTCATCTCTTGTGTCCTGTAGCATCCGGCTCAGAGGCTTCCTTAGGTCACTGGGATCCAGCTCAAACCTGGCACATCAGGGCCCCGGGGGGGGGTAAGGGGGGGGTTCCCCTCCCTGTATCCCACTTGGGTTTGCTTTGACACGTTCCTAATGCAGTCACTTTGGGAGATTCCCCCTCCACAAAGGTAGGAATCAGGCGTTTCAATGAGAGCTTCCCATCGTGAGCAGCATGAGCCTGGAGGGAGCTGCGAGGAGGATGCTGAAGGACAAGGGGGATGTACCACAGGAGGCTCCTCAGCCCCTTCTCATCAGTGCTTGGGTACCCAAATCTCTTCTGCGTTTCAGGTGTTCTCCCAGTGACAAGGATCTAACTCGTGCTATAGGGGAACCAGTTATAACCCTTGTTGCAAGCCCAGCTCCCTCCTGCCTGCCCTTCATCCCCAAGGAAAAGCCAAGCAGAATCTTTCTGCTGCTTGCCCTGCTCGAGCCATCCCCCTCTGTGTGAGTGCTGGGGGGGGCTGCTGCTTGTGCCCCTTCCACAGGTAAGTGTGGATGAAAGGAGGGTTTGCTCCGTTGCTCCCCAGCTCCCATGGGATGTGTTTGCAGCGGGATGAGCCCCAGTGCTCCCAGTATGGAACACGAACAGGCAGGGGGCTGATGGGTTTCATGGGGCAGAGCTCGCTTTGGGGATGTTGTGCTCCTGCTGTGGTCCAGCCGGGATGGAAGGGACCCGTGTTTATGGATGCCTCTGGCTGGGGCTGGTTCAGCATCCTGGCCCCACAAGTGATGCTGCACCTTCATTCCATGGGGTGCAGCACGAGGTTTGAGGCTCAGGGTTTGCGCTGTGTTGCTTCCCACTCTCTTCCCACCATCCCAAGCAATGGGGGCAGGCAGAAGGGTCACTTACTCCTTCACCCCATCAGCGTTCGCTCCGTGGTGTGCTGACAGGAGCCCCGTTGTGCCGCCTCAAGGATGCTGTCGGCCCTTCCCCTGGAGCTGGCTTTGAATCCAGTCTATTTATTCAGATCCCTTGGTCCCTGTGGATTCCCTCTGTCCTCCATGAGCATTCCTCATCCTCCCTTTGCACGGCTCCCTTCTGAGGGTTCGGGGTGGCCGAGGACAAACGGCGCTTCCCATGGTACCAGGGCAGCAGCAATGGGTGTCTTGGCACAGCTCAAGCTCACCTGGGGCAGGGCAGAGCTGATGTGGATTTCCAGGCTGGATGTGATGGATTTCCAAGCTGGATGTGATGGATTTCCAAGCTGGATCTGATGGATTTCCAAGCTGGATCTGATGGATTTCCAGGCTGGATGTGATGGATTTCCAGGCTGGATCTGATGGATTTCCAGGCTGGATTTGATTTTTCCTTGTGGCAGAGCCCAGTTTTCAAGGGGGGGGGAAACTCCCAAGACTACAGAACCCAAAGCGTTTTTCGTTGTCGTTTTCCAGACAGGGTTTGACAGCATTAAGGTAGCTCAAAACCTACTTGACAGTGTCCTTGAAAAGTCACTTAATCCGTCTCCAAATGGACTCTTCCTTTATGTTTGTATTTATAAATACCAATAAACACCATTTTCCAAGCTCTGTTTTACCACAGGAGGGATTTGGGGGAGCAAAACCCAACCCCGGTGCATGGGGCAGTGTTCCAGGCTGGGGCTTGCCTTGGTTTGGTGGCCACAGAGGGCACCGAGCACTGAGGTTTGGGGCTCAGGTGGGGTGAGGAGCTGGTGGCTCCTGGATCCACTGGTCCAGGACAGGACCATGGTCCAGGGCTCTTCCCTGCTCCTGCTCAGACACCCAGCCCGGGCCATAGGGTCCATGGGCAGAGCCTTGAGGGGCTTTTGCTGCCTCAACCCTCCTGGGCTGGAGCAGATGCAGCAGGGACCTCCCCAGGGGAGGAACTGAGCCCTTCTGGGTCAGGGAGCCCCAATTCCACCCCAAATGAGGCTTTTCTGGTGGTTCAGGACCTGCAGCAGCGCTTCCAAGCCCATTCCTGTGGCTGCTCCAACAGGGCTCAGTTAAACCAGAAACCTGAAGAGTTCCCTGTTCTCAAGAGAATCCCCTATGGATGTGGCATCGTGGGGGTTTGGGTCTGGAATGAGGTTCAGGATGATGGACCCCAAAAATGAGGTTTAAAACATCTGTGTTTGGGGGGGGGAAGGATGGGGATGGTGAGAATGGGAGGGTTTGGGGGTGATGGGGCTGTGGGGCTCAAGCAGCTTCTAAAAGCTCTGAGGGGGGGGGTTGGCTCCTGGCAGCACCCACAGGGGTGAGGGTTGGGGGTCCCCTGCTCCCTCCTATCCCTTCCCGTCTGTGGCTGCACCCCGAGCCTGTTGTGACGAGCACCAAGGTGGGGAGCAGGAGCTCTTCCCATTGCACAAACCCTGGAGAGAAAGAGGGGAGACTCCATGGGAGCAGTCTGGGGGGCTCTGGAGCTTTATTGGATGCTCGAGGCTCCTCTGTGCGCAGGACAAGGAGCGCTCACTTCTTGGTCTCCTCCTCCTTGGAGAGGGTCTTGATGATCTCCTCCTTCTTGGCCTGCAGCCGCTCCTCGCGCCGCTTCCGAGCCTCCTTGGTCTTGGACCTACGAGCTTCAGCCTGGTCACTGCCAGAGGGGAAGAGCTGCTTCATGTGGGGATCACCAAGGAGCTTCCACCCTGGCTCCTGCTCCAGAGCCACCTGGAGCAATGGCTCATGGAAGCAGGGGATGCTTTGTGCTGGAAGGGAGCTTAAAGCTCATCCAGTTCCAACCCCAACCCCTTCCACTGGAGCAGCTTGCTCCAAGCCCCTGTGCCTTGAGCACTGCCAGGGATGGGGCAGCCACAGCTTCCCTGGGCACCCTGTGCCAGCGCCTCAGCACCCTCACAGGGAAGAGCTTCTGCCTCAGAGCCCATCTCTGGCCCAGTTCTAGCTCCCATTCCTCACCCAGGCTCCAGAAGGAGCCACCAGCACCAGAACCCCCCCCTTGTGGATGCAGCACTTACGCCAAGAGCTTCTTGCGAGCTTTATCCGCCTTGAGCTTGTGGATGTGCTCCATGAGGATGCGCTTGTTCTTGAAGACGTTACCCTTGACCTTCAGGTACAGGCTGTGATACCTGAGGGAGCAGAAGGGAACGGGCTCAGTGAGGCAGCCCCAGACCCCCTCATCCCTCCTGCTGGGCTCATCCCTGGTGCCGTGCTCCGTGGGGAGGGCTCCGGCACCACCGGGGCCTGGCTCACATGTGCCGGTCGATCTTCTTGGACTCCCTGTATCTGCGCAGGAGGCGCCTCAGGATCCGCATCCGCCGCATCCAGGTCACCTTCTCGGGCATGCGAGCGTTGGCCGTGCCCTTCCTCTTACCTGCAGAGGGAAAACAGGATGGGGATGGAGCTGGAGTCCTGCACCTTCAACACGGTCCTCATAGAACCATAGAATAGTTCAGGTTGGAAAGGAGCTTCAGATCATCCAGTTCCAACCCCCTGCCATGGGCAGGGACACCTCACACTAAACCATGGCACCCAAGGCTTCATCCAACTTGGCCTTGAGCACTGCCAGGGATGGAGCATTCACAACCTCCCTGGGCACCCATTCCAGTGCCTCAGCACCCTCACAGGAAAGAATTTCCTCCTTAGATCCAATCTAAACTCCCCCTGTTTCAGTTTTAACCCATTACCCCTTGTCCTATCACTACAGTCCCTAATGAAGAGTCCCTCCCCAGCATCCCTATAGGCCCCCTTCAGACACTGGAAGCTGCTCTGAGGTCTCCACGCAGCTTCTCTTCTCCAGGCTGAACAGCCCCAACCTTCTCAGCCTGGCTCCATACAGGAGCTACTCCAGCCCCTGAGCATCCTCGTGGCCTCCTCTGGACTTGTTCCAACAGCTCCATGTCCTTTTGATGTTGAGGACACCAGCACTGCACACAGTGCTCCAAGTGAGGTCTCACGAGAGCAGAGCAGAGGGGCAGGATCACCTCCTTGGACCTGCTGGTCACGCTCCTCTTGATGCAGCCCAGGATACTGCTGGTTTCAGGGCTGCAAGCGCACACTGAAGCAGCTCCTGTTCAGGTTCTCATTGCCCAGCACCCCCAAGTCCATCTCCTCAGGCTGCTCTGGATCTCTTCTCTGCCCAGCCTGGAGCTGTGTCTGGGATTGCTCCCCCCTCACATTTAACCCTTCTCTCTGCTCCCAGAGGAAAACCATGGCCACACAAAGCGCAGGCTGAGGCTCTGCCCTGCAGGAGCCATGGGGCTGCACTCACCGATGCCCATGTGCCGGCCCTTCCGCCGGGCCAGGGTGTTCTTCCTGCACCGGGCTCGGGAGTGCACGGTCACGGGCTTGCGGATGATGAGCCCATCCTTGATGAGCTTCCGGATCTGCTGCCCTGTGGACAGAAACCTCCATCTCCAACACCAACCATGCACAGGCACCAACGCTGCCTTCCCAAACCCCCTCCTGCCCCTGCGTCCCCATCACTGGAGACCCCCCCACACCATTCTAAACCCACCCCCCCATGGCATCTGAAACTGGGCTCCCTCACACTCAGTGTCCTGGATTCACCTCTCTGCTTGACCCAGCCCCTCTGCCCCTGTCCCCATCACATCCCTGCCTGTCCCTGCTCCTGTCCCCACCGCATCCCTGCTTGTCCCAGCCCCTCTG